CCCCGCGCGCCTGGACAGCACGCCCAGGCGGCGACCGCAGCGGCGGCAGCCGACGTCGGTGGTGGTGTCCCCGGTAGCAGCTGCAGCAGCGCTCAGCAGTGAGAGTAAAGCCCCATCGGAGAGTCACAGTCCCAAACATATAGGTATGATGACAGCCGTGCATGTGCATTATCAAATATAAAAATAAACAACATTTTTTATAATTTAAAATAAAAAATGAGATCCGTGTGATTTATATCTTTTTTTCTTCCTGTTTCTCTCCCAGACCATGAAAACGGTGTCAGGTCTGATTCACCGCCGCCACCGACCATCAAGTCTTCCTTTCGGCCCATTCATGACAGGTGAGATCACACTCTCGGTTCTTCATTTTATTGTTTGCCAAAACAAAATTATCCCCACCTCACATAAACACACAATCATATTTAATTTAACAAGATTTATGATACATTTAATTTACGATCTCCTTATGATTAGCAACACCTATAATTGATCGAGATAATTAAAAAAAAATGTTTTGGCAAAGTGTAAAGCCGAAATATCACTATATGCAAATTTCCACGTGCGTAAATCTAAAATGTAAAAGAGGAAATTGGATATATATTTTTTTCTTACGTGAAACGAATGAACAAATAATACTTTGGAAAAATAAAATAAACAAACAGTTTGCTTTGCGGGTGACAGGGGTCTTGACTCTCATCCCACACCCCCTTTAATTCCTCCCCTCTGGGGAGAGTGTGGCTACTTATCAAGTCACCGAGTAAAACGGGCTCTGTCTGGGCTGTGTGCTTTCCCTAAAGACCCATGGGAGACCCGGAGCCCAGGGGAGCTCTAGCTCTTACTGAAGAGAGACAGAGCGAGGGAGGGAGGGAGGGAGGGTGGGAGAGAGAGAGAGTGAGAGAGAGAGAGAGAGAAGGGGAGAATTATCCCTGTTTCAAGTACTGCACAATTTCCACTCTTTAATACAAGTGTCATTGAATAAGTGATTTAATAATTCTATTATAATAATATATATAAATATATAATACATGTTTTAATTAATTAAATTAATTCGATTTAAAGATTGTTTTAATTGTGCACTGATTTTGATATTGTTATTGTTATTATTATTATTATTATTATTATTATTATTATTATTATTATTATTATTATTATTATTATTATTATTATTATTATTATTATTATTTATGGTCATGATCAGAACTGCAGTCTGTTTCTGATCGAAACTCTCTGTAAACCGGACGCCTTAAGGTTCTTATTGAAACCCGTTGTTCAAACACATATTTATCTCCTTGTTTTTTTTCTCTCCTATTATTTTTCATCCAGATCATCTCTGCCTTCCAGCGCCAGGAGTCCAGCAGACGCCACGCAACGAGTCCTCACTGCTCTCTCCTCGGCTTGATCAAGACATTTTTTTTTTATTTTTCGTGCTTGACAAAGACAAAAAAAACTGGGGGAAAGAAAACTAGGAAAAAAAAGAGACTATACGCTTCCGGTAAAAAGGACAATGAGAAATAATAATAATAATAATGCAGCATAGCATTCAGTCGGTACAGAACAAATGGCGTAATTTGGTAATATCCTGTGGATGGATGAATGAATGGATGGATGGATGAAAGGATGGATGAATGGATGGATGGATGGATTACTTCCTCTATTGTTGTGTAGCCTATAATCTCGCCTATAATCTCTCTTTCTCCACTTTGCCCATGCAGGCGGGCTCAAACATTTTGGTAGGCTTTTTACTTTATTATAATTATTATTTTTTTTTGTCTTTTTATTGTGTTTTTGGTGTCCTTTCTTTAATGTAAATATCAAGTGATTTAAATTTGTAAATAGGAAACGTTGAAGGAATTTGTCCAGATCGTATATTTTGCCTAATAAACTAAATGAAATTATAGAGAAAACCAAGAGTATCTTCCGTCTATATTTCATGATTATTATTATCATTGTTATTATTATTATAATTAGCATTAGCATTAGTTTTTTTTTTATTATTCAAGTGCTGAGGACGGGACAAAACCTGCGTGTGTTTGTGTGTGTGTGTGTGTGTGTTGTTTGTTTGCAGCCTTAATTTTATTCAAGTTTTGGGAGAAAGCGGCGTGGAAGCATTGAGGTGCTAATAAGTGTCCAGATGGTTGCTGGTGACAGAAAATGGACAGGAGCAGCTGGGAAGGTCATTAAGTAATAATATGGGAACGCCCAGTCCAAACAAAATCAAATGGTTAAAATCTAATCTGTCAGAGAGAGAAGTCGATTCATAGATTAATTATTTATTTTTTATTATTATTATTTTTTATTTTATTTTGGTGGATGGGGAGGAGGGGTGTCAGACAGAGTCAGCCCTTTAGAGCAGGAGAGTAATTTTATTGGGAGGGAGGAGTTTTTTTTTTTCTTTTTTTTCTGTGGCTGATAGTGATCATTAAAGCAACGTCTTTGCTCGTTTTTGTCACTGACCAAAACGTAAATATTGATTCCGCACAACGGCCTAATGGGTTTATATTAAGGAAAAATCTCAGTCAGTTGTGAGACGGATGATAAGATTATTACTCTTTTTCGTCTTAGCTGAAACTTAAATGTTGTGCCTTAAAACTATATTTTTTTAATGAAAATGTTTTATACAGTGTGAAATGTTTATTTTTTATAAGAATCTGATTTGGGTTGATATTGGGCTTTGGAAATATATATTTTGTTTATCAAGCAACGCAGCTGCATTAAAAAAAAAAAGGTATACGATGATTAAGACAACATTTCACAATCACAGACGGACCAGATCGAATATTCTAGTGTTTGAAACCTGCGTACTGACTCATCCATGTCTTTTTTTTTTTTTTGCAATATAACAGCGACCTCTAAAGGCCAGAAGTAGATCACTTTGAATTGAAGCAGCCCACACCTTCCAGTGAGCTGTGAACACAAGGATACTTGTTTGTTGGAAGTACAGTATATTATATTAATCACACAGATAAATTGTCAAGATTAAATATACAGTGCAGTGTATATATGTTATAGAAAAAATGACATGAACATTTTAAAAAGGCAGTGATTTCACACATAAGGGCAAAAACAATGTTTTTTATTTTAAATTATTATTACTGCATAATTGGACTTTAAAATTATATATACATATATATTTTAAATAAAGCCATATTAAATGATAGCATTTTTTTAGAACAAAGGGGCAGAACGAATTTTCTTAAGTTCTGTTTGGAATGTTTGGTAATCGTTGACTAATTCGTGTGTATGTGTGTGTGTGACAGAGGCGCATAAATCTGTGCCACTTAAGTGGCCACTCTCTAAACATTCACTCAGTGTAAGACTGTGTAAAAAATTAACAAAGGTCATCACAGGTCGTGTTGACCAGCAGCAGGGTCAGCTACAGCAACACTTCAGTAACGACACAGATGATTGGTGCAGAAGAAAGACATTTTCATCTATCTCTGCTGGAAATAATGGAAATATCCACTTTGTGGTCCACATTACAACAATGTGTTGATACAATTGGTTCCAGCCCTCACTGGACGTCACTGGACGACAGCATGTAGTTGTATCGAGCCACGTGAGGCGCAGACTGACTTTTGTCTATTTCACTTACATTCGCTTTGGCCGTAATGATTCTAATAGCCCGGCACCCAAAAGGGCAGGTGTGTAAATTTCATATTCTCCTCCCTCCCTCCATCCCTCTGTGCTCCATTTGCACACACATCCTCTCATGAGCTGGCTTTGGGGGGCTAAAATTAAATAACCTCTCAGTGTCCCATTTATTCCTTTTGTACTGGAACAGCGTGAGGTTAGTGCCAAGGCGCTAGCTGCAGGCCATAATATTGTGTTTCCATAATATATACAAAATTATTCATTTAGTAAGTGGATGTACAGTGGATTGTCTAATGGGTAATGAGCGGAGCTGGAGCTGATAATTAGGCTGTCACTTCCAGCCATTCCTTCCCTGCCCGCCCTGGGCCACGAGGCAGGGAAGAAAAGAAAATAAGGAGCATGAAATCAAAAGAGAAAAAAAAAAAAAAACTATAAGTAGATAAATGAATTAAATGTAAATAGAGAGGTAAATAATCATTCACCCAGGGATTACAGCGGTAGACGCATAACATTATGGGATTTTTTTTTCTTTTTAAATCACAGCAACCGTTGTTAGAAACAGTAAACATTGCTGGTTCAACAATAATTACTTTATAATGGGTTTAGCGATCAGATTATTTCCTTTAAGAAAAATAATTGCAATGCAGTCAGGACCAAGAATACATTAAGTTGCTTTTTTTTTTTAGGTTATTTAAAGGCTACAACTGCTGGATCCTACTCCAGAGATATGGGAATTGTGGCTCATGCAAAGACAATAAGTTGTTGACCCTAAAACAATTTAGCATTCTGTCACAGGCGCCCCCCCCCCCCACTCCCCAATAATACCATAGCCTTTTGTTGGTGCGCAAGTTCCAGCTCCCCCTACAACTGAGACGTGTCACACTGTGGCAATCCATTCATTTTAATGGTGAATTGTGCTCCGTGACAGTTTTCTGTGCAGTGTGTGTGTGAGAAAGAAAGGGCGAGAGAGGGAGAGAGAGCGGTGAGTGCATGTGGAGGAAAGTTTATCACTGTCTTGTCTTTTTTGGCAGAAGTAGGCTATTCTTACAAGAGACTCGACCTCTTGTCGTGGAACAACACAAACGTCTCTTCCCATCCCTTCACCCTCCTCCAGCAGACCCTGCTCGGCTTCGACGTCTTCCGTTGTCTTATTCTCACAAATATGCCCACCCGTACGCACCGCTCTAATCAATTTATCTGGTTTTCTGAGAGCAGCATTGGTCCGATGCTGACACCGAAGACGTCCCAGGCCCCGGCCCCCGGCCTTGGCCCCAGCTGCAGGGGTGGAGAGGGGAGGGAGGTGGAACTCACGACAACAAACAAAAACAAGTCACGGCAGCCCGACGGCATCAGCCTGAGCAGGGCCACCATCAAACCCTGCAACACCGTGTTTAGCTGAATACTTTGCTCCCATCCGTGTTTCAGAGACACAATGGCAGCGAACGCCTTGGTCGAGGACTTTTTTTTTTTTTTTTTACAGCAGCAGCAAAAAACTGCTGCAAGACACGATTCTCCGCTTGTGGGGGGG